GTATACACGATATGTTGTGCATATATTCGTAGTCGAGCCGACGTCGCGACTGGCGAAAGAAAGTAGTCAGTCCCGTTACGAAATAGCGAGTGAATGCCGACTATCTGGGTCAGACAAAAGCGGAACTTCCGCGATGGTGTGCACCTCGCGATCGCACTGTCGTGGATACGCCCTTTGCGAATTAAAAGATAACGAGAAGCTTTTTTCTCTTCCTGCTGCCTTCAGAATGCATTTTCTGCATTATAGTAATAAGACAGATGGATAACATAAGCAGGAGCGTACTGAAATAACTAATTGAATTTAAATCTAAATTTACTCTCCTACTGTGCATCCACGAGAATATTATACTTATTACTCCATATTGTGTATGATTTTCAAGTTTCCAACGATCGTTCCAAAAAGAAAAGGAAACATCCGGCAGCCTCGGCGAAACTGTAGCGAAATCGCGAAACTTTATGGAATCTCAATCTATTATGCAATAAGCCGGAATGACACGAAATAGCGAGGAGCCTTGAGATCCGTCTTAGAATTTGAACGGACGCTGAATCGCTTAACTTCCCGCACTTTCTTAGGCTGTGGTCAAAGTTTCGCTACAAATGCTTTGATGGACCAATTAGAAGAAAGAATTTTACAAACTGACCAATTAAAAAACGCAATTGCAACATCGCGTTGATCATATCTTTTTGTTATACAATACGGTTATGGAATTCGATACCGACGGAAGAAAGTAGAAGGAACAAGAATTTTAATTTCTCATTAAAATTCTTGTATTTCGTTTAATCTAATGCATATGAGAACATGATATATGTTTCGGAGAGAAAATCCGTCGTGATATTTCTTGCGCGGAGGCCAATTTTGTAAATTGGCATCCCCGGCCTCGCGAGATTACGGTACACATCCTTCCCCGATTGTTTTTCCCTCGGTGCAATCGAGCGTCAGAAAAAGGTAACTCATTATTCACGCAAGTGAGAGGGGCCGGAATGCCGTTCCGAGGTAACGGAGACCGAAGAGGCGAAACTCCGCGCCTCGAAGTCACCGAGCTGAAGGAGGCCGGCCATCTGGATCGCCGCGCCGTCGAGCAACAAGGCGGATCGGAGAACTTAAGACTTGAGAGAATCGGTCCTCTCGCGTTTGTTTCGGCGAGATCTATCCATGTCCTTGGGAATACGATATCTCCGCGGATCCATCCGCGAACTTGACTCATGCCTCCGGTAAAGGTGGGTCATTCCGCGTTCGCAATTTCTCGGAAGCGCGCTTAAAAGTCGCGTGTGCGAACTCGCGAATTCGCGATAATCGCGAGGTATATATGTAGATAGGTACTTACGCGCCGCGCTTCGCCGCCCGATGCGATTCTCCACCACATCGCTACCTTGACATGCATTCTCTCGGACTGGCAGTCAGGGCCGGGGACGTCCAGGACGAGCCCGACCCTCGTGATTCCTCGCGATTCCTCGCGATCACGTCCGCCGTGCATCCGTGTCGCTTTCGCCGACTAATCACCTGCTCTCGATTCCCGTTCGCACCGCGATTACGCAATCGTGGAATACTCTTGAGATCAATTTTGTTCTCGTAAAAAAGAGATGTAAGATTAGCTTGATTCATATTACTCAAGCTCTAGTATTTCGACTAGAAATATTTCTTATAATGACAATAGTACGAATTGAACTTTCAAGTATGCGATATATTAGCGATTTTTTGAAAACGTTTTGAGGCGCTGAGACGTGAAGACATTTAATTAAATTTTGATGAATTGTGCGATTTACTGGGCTGTACATCACATTATGCTTGTATTTTTAAGAAATTACTTAATTAGGTAATTAATATGTTAAGTAAATCATTAATGTTAAACTTCTACAATTAGGATTTAATTCTGAACTTGCTGAATGGCATAAGAAATGTGTATACACATAGATTATGACGATTATCGGAAATTTCAGCGGTCTCGGTGAGATCGCATTAACCCTCTGGCGATGATTTTTTTCCATCGATTTAATCGGAACTTATTGGATCTTCCAGCTCCTTTCGCCGCTTCTCTACCGAGAAATGGGTTTCTCTCTTGGCGTAAAAAAGAAAAAGAAAATCCACGGAAGGATGTAGAGACGCAAAAGTGAAAGTGGCAATGTTATTAGTAATTTCTGTAACAGAATTGTGACCTACTTGTAGCGCAATCTTGAGGTTCCCATTTTTTTGCGTTACCATCGAATGAGTCAACGAATTAAGCACAATGGGGAAGGGGACAGTCTTATTAGTCATCTTTTCCTAATATACATATATGTATAACCGCAAGGTTATTTTGTTTTAAGAACATCATGCAGGAATTTTTTATTTTTGTGCTGAGAAAAAAAATGCTTGTGATTGCTATAATTTAATCAAAAATTATAATCATTTTTAGTGTCACTATAAATATTTTTGGTATAACTACAAATATAATTATTATTACTAATATTATAGCGGTAATAACTATAAAAATGGAGCTCTTAATAATTATTTTACCAACTCATACATATAAAACATTTTTTCTCAATACGATAGTTAGCGAAAAGAATTTGAAAGAATTTGAAAATAAATACACAGAGGATAAGTACAGAGGATATACATTTCGATTCCGATTGTCCGTGAACTTTGTGACCCACTTAACTGCTTCGCAATAAAGAGGTAGATAAACAAAGAGATAAGATAAGCGAAAAATGTACAATAGTACAAAGATACGTATATACAAGAGATATGTACAAAATGTAAAAGATGTAAAATGACTCCTAGATGATTAATATTAAGTATTACACAATTATTAATGCCCTCTTTAATTATTAAAAATAAATATATCTTCTAGACGATCAATAATTGTAATATCAAATATCGTGTAATACTATTGATTGTCTAAAGGTCATTTAAAAGAATGTTACTCGGTAGATGATTGTCGTTTATGTTAGTTAGTGGCTGAAAATTAGGGTAAGAGATCGTGATTAATCGACTGATTAAGTCGAGGCTACTCTGTGGTAGAAAGAAAGTTGCAGTTCTGGGACACTGTGAACGGATATGCTTAGCAGAATTGCTCCGACTTATGAGGTGCAATTTCATGTGTAGCTTCAATGCTAAAGTCTCGTGTAACCGGCTTAAAAGATGACTGAGAGGATAAAGATTCGTGTTCTGGGTGGTCCATCCAGAATCTGGTGCGAATCCCAGCTGTCCCTTCGGAATTTTCCCACATGAAACATGCGTCACGCACAGCGTACGACGTACGCTATAAATATTAAACGTATACTTCGCTGACGTTATTTAAACGCAAACACATTTAGCCGAATCGAAATCAATTCTATGTACATTTGCTCATACGCGTCACGGTATTTTCTCTTAATCATTTATCTCGCCCATTATTCATAGTTCCTTTCTGATTAGCAGCTGTTTTTCTCAAGAATTAAAATCGAAACGAGTATATTTCCGCTATAGATATAATGGGTATATTTCCGATAAAAATCCATTGATGCCGATAAATCGAATGACGACAAAAATAAATAACGATAAAATTATTATTGTAAATTATTTACCGAACGAAAATATTGTTACTCGTCTTGCTTCTTATCGTTCGTCACGTTCGCTGCAATAGTTACATACAGTTCCGTGAATTATGTAACGTTGAAACATAATCGCAACTCGAACTCCGCTGCCATGGAATACATGAATGTCTAAAGCCGCACTTGACTCCCTCCCGCTCGTCGCTCATGTCGTATAGTTAACGCTATGTACATACTTCTGTCATTTTTATACGACTTGTTCTTTCTTCGTTTTGAGGTACATTACACGCGTTTGCTGCTTTAATTACGGACAATATGTCTTTTGATATGCGAAATCGCGATAAACTTGGTCCGCAATGGAGCGAAGCGTAGCTGTGAGGCGCGATGGCGCGGCGAATCGCTCACGCGATATGTATGCACATTCACGGCCATCCTCGCACCTGCCGACCTGTCGATATTAGCAGCGCATCGCAGGTGCTTGTACCTTTTCGCGTGTCACGCGTCGAATAAGCGGCATTCCATTCCAAGGCGCCGTCGTCCGGGTCGGTCCACGTGACGCTTCGGCCACATTGAATATATACGATCATCTCTTTCCTTTCTCTCTCTCCGTGCACTCCCGCATGCGACGTCGAGGGAAAAATGAATGCCAGGAGCACCTCATTGTCTCGTTCAGAAGCCTTGTCAGCTTCGCTTCGCGCGCGTCACCACGTCCGCAATCTCTCTCTCTCCTCGTGTCTGGGAACGTGCGACAAACGAGTCGTCGAGGAACGCAAATATCGAGAGGAGAATGCGACCGTTAGGAATGAAGAAATTGTTAATTAGTGTACTCCAGTCCAACCGTTAGACCACTCAGAGCGAAATCGAGTCAATTTATTGTACGTCTCTTTCAATGTACGTTTTTACTTTACATCAGCAAACGTTTGATAGAAATACGTGAAAATATCTCATGCTTTAAACTTCTCGTTTGCAATCAGGGCCCAAGCGAAATTTTATTCTCAAATTTCATCATTTTTTGCTCGAAAATTTTAATTTTTATATTAAATAAAGCTTTTAACAAAATTTTAAAAAACTGTTTGATAACGTAATGAAGATGTTGAAAAGTAGTCGTGAATTCTTTTTGAAAGTTTAAAGCAGTAAAAAAATTTGAGTTGAACAAAAAAGACTCAGATTCGATCAAACGAGGAGGGTTAATTACAATTTCGAAAAACAGATTTTTAGAATTTTGCATTGATATGTTTCTTCGATTTCTCTGATTCGCGTTCGACTGGTGCACCGAGTATAGTTTGTGCGGTTTTCGCGAGCGGAGATCGGTTCCGTAACAATTGTACCAAATTGCCATGATATAACGGATGTCATCAATCGGATATTATCGAGTATCAACTTTTCTCACAGGATTCCCGTTTTTCTGTTACAGTAAACCTAGCGGACAACAGCAGCCAGAAAGTGGACATGACACACTTTGACTTGCTGAAAGTCCTTGGCACCGGAGGTGAGAAATCATTCGATAAAGTGCCTTTTCCGAAACGTGGTCCAGTTTGATAATATTTGTAATCAATCCTGAATCATAACATTTACAACACTAGTAATAACATTCAAACTATTTGTAACGGTTATAATAATAAACACTTCAATTATTTTTAACAGATATTGTAATATTTATACCGTTATAGGCATCGAATTTTAAACGTTTTTTTTTTTACACGATATATTATACATAAGTTAATTTCCGATAATGCTTTAGATCTTTCTTTCGGACTGTGCTATTTTTTTCAAGGCATGGCAATATTTCTTAATCTCCGTTATTATTAAACTCTCTCTAAACTGCGACGCATATCACGCTTTTAAAATTGATCATCTCGTTTTCATACAGCTTACGGTAAAGTCTTCCTGGTGCGAAAGAGAACGGGTGCTGACTCCGGACGGCTTTATGCTATGAAGGTGTTAAAAAAGGCCTCCATCGTACAGAAGAAGAAGACGACGGAGCACACCAAGTCCGAGCGGCAAATTCTGGAGGCTATCAGGGACAGCCCGTTCCTGATAACTCTCTATTACGCGTTTCAAACTGACGACAAACTCTGTTTGATCTTAGGTGAGACTCGGCGAAGAACTGAAAGTAAAGGAAAATAAATCTACCAATGGAAAGGACAGAGGATAAATAAAGTAAAAACTAAAATAAATAAAAAAGAAGAAATATAACATACATGCGTGTCAAGTTAAATTTTGCTGAATAAATAATATGGAAGTTATAATATTTTGTCTATACAAAATAATTTCTTACACAATTTCGGTATTACTTACATTACAGACAAAATAAAAAGATCTATATACGGATAAAATACAAGATTTTATATATTTGTGCAACAAAAGTGAATAAAAATAAAAGGTATCAATAAAATATATCCTTTTTTTTATTTGAACTATTACATGTATCAAATGTCGTTGTAGATGACACATAAAGAAGAAAAATTTGTTCTATTTCTTTCTTCCCTGAGGCTATAGAACTTCGAACTTATGAGATATTTTTTTTTATTTCCAGAATATGTCGCCGGCGGTGAAATGTTTACGCATCTATATCAACATGACTGTTTCACGGAGGACGCAGTACGATTTTATATTGGCGAAATTATCCTGGCGCTAGAGCGCCTTCATGACGTATGTATTAATATACTAATGTTATATGTGCGCACAAACAACAATAATATTATATATCTTTTGACGAGGAATGAAAACAATCCGCATAAACGAAATAAATTAAATTGAATCTATTGTATATAATATTTTATTTGATGTTGCAGCTTGGCGTAATATATCGGGATATCAAACTTGAAAATATACTTTTGGATAAGGAGGGGCATCTCGTGTTGACGGATTTTGGTCTCAGCAAAGAATTCCTACCGCACGAAAGGAATGGCAATGCGCGTACTTACTCGTTTTGCGGAACTATCGAGTATATGGCACCGGAAGTAGTAAAGGCGGGCCCGAATGGTCACGATATCGTAAGTTAACGTTGATACCTGATCTATCTTTTTACGTTTCCAATTCGCATATTATTTCATCCCCGTACTTTTGTAGCTTCTTTTCTCGGATGACGACTCGGATGATAATCTGTTTTATCTCTCTTCCTAGAAGATAATTAAATTTTTATGATACTTGAACTTATTAAGCGTATAATTATAATATTTGAATATTAATGAAGAAGCATAAACTAATTATTAAATTAAATTTTCACATAAAATAAAAAATATGTATTTTAATGTTACATGTATAAATAAAAATAACATATAAAAGAAGATGTAATTGAGTCTTGGATATAATTAACAATAATACAGAATAAAGACATGTATGTTTAAACGTATTGTAATCGAGTTGACATTCTTGTAGGCTGTCGATTGGTGGAGCGTGGGTGTATTAACGTTTGAATTACTGACCGGTGCGTCGCCTTTTACGGTGGAGGGCGAGAAAAATAATCAACAAGAAATTTCGAGGAGGATATTAAAGAATGATCCGCCATCAATGCCGAGTCATCTGAGTGCTAACGTAAGCGATTTCATCACTCGCTTGTTAATCAAAGATCCACGACAAAGATTGGGCGGTGGACCGCGCGACGCTAAAGAGCTCAAAGAGCATCCCTTTTTCATGGATGCGGCACCGGCCTTTACTTGGGAAGGTCTGGAGAAGAAACAGATCAAGCCACCTTTGATTCCCAAAATTTCGCACGAATTAGATACCAGCAATTTTTCAGACGAATTCACAAAGATGAATGTCGTCGTTGACAGTCCAGCGATCATTGATGGTGACTATCCTGACAAACATTTTAGGGTAAGTTTTCTCTTAATTTTTTTCATTATTATTCCGAACAAATAGATAGCTATAACAGTCACAGATTTTATTAAACATTTACAAAATTTCTCACTTGGATATATTTGCAGGGTTATTCCTATGTAGCGCCTTCGATACTATTCACCGACAATGTGGTGAGCAGGGATATCTTTGGTGGCGAGATCAGTTCGCAACGACCTTTGTTGTCCGATCTGTTGAATACGTGTTTCGAAGAATCCACGTTCTTCGAGACGTACGAGTTAGACCAAGCGGGACCAGCTCTAGGCGACGGCAGTTTTTCGATTTGTCGACGGTGTCGTAATCGTAAGACCCATCAGGAATACGCCGTGAAGATCGTCAGCAGGCGAGTGGATTGCAGTCGGGAGGAGAATCTGTTGCGTGTGTGTCAGCGTCACGCGAATGTAGTGAAATTGATAGAAGTCCACCACGATCGACTTCACACATACATCGTGATGGAATTGCTCTCGGGCGGGGAATTGTTACAACGACCGCGCCCATTCTCGGAGCGGCAGGCCAAGCGAGTGATGCGGCAATTGGCATCCGCAGTGCGATACATGCACTCGCGTGGCGTAGTGCATCGTGATCTCAAGCCAGAGAATATCGTATATGTGCATCAAGGCGAAGATTCGCCTGTAAAGATAGTCGACTTTGGATTTGCTCGGATGAAGAACAGCTGCGAGCCGTTACACACGCCCTGCTTCACGCTCCCGTACGCTGCCCCGGAGGTTGTGGCTAACCAAGAATACGACGAGAGCTGTGACATGTGGTCCCTGGGGACTATTCTGTATTTCATGTTATCCGATAATCCACCTTTCCGTACAGATACACCTAACATAGCGATGCGCATCAAAGCCGGTGAGATTAATTTTGACAGTGAGGCTTGGAGTCATGTGTCTCCAGGTGCGAAACAAGTGATGAAAGGTTTGTTGATAATCGATCCCAACAATAGACTCACCGCAGCTTCTCTGGTATATCATTCGTGGTTGACTACGCATGACGCTACGATTCTCCCGGTAACACCAGCCACTGATGCGGTTCACGCGGATAACGCGGTAGCCATCAGTTCAACGTCAACGCACGAGCAGCGCGAGGGTTTCCGGCTGCGCGCAGTCGATGCCGCTAAACTGGCTCAGCGTCGCAAGCACAAACGTTCCAATTCCAGTTCCTCCACATCGAGACCGTCTTCTTCTTCCTCCTCGAGTCCGTCATCAGTTCAGTTGCGTCTACCAAGCGCTACAGCAAGTGCTGCAAACACTTCCACCTCGTCACCAAGCGTCTTCGATTTTAATGACGAAGTTGTTAACGAGTACCTGAGTTCCCTATCTTCTTCTTCCGATTCGAATTCCTCGGTAAGACTTTCACTCCTGCAAGAATTTGAGAGAACCGCGAAAAAGCGGACCAAACGCAATGCCGACCATGAATCGTGTCAATCGATAATCCCGACGAAAAAGCATCGACATCGACGTGACGTTGACAGTGAAACTAGTGGCAGCAGTAGTAACGGTCCAATGACACGATCGCGAAAACGTAAACTCGAACAAATAATAAATTCGGACAGAGATATAGGTTCTGACAATTCCGCGGAGTCGTTCGAGTCGTCCTCGCAAGTCGCGCATGACGAAGGGAATGTCCATAGGAGACATAAAGCTGGCAAGCGGCCGAAACGCCTTGCCACGATTATAGTCGAGTAGAGAATTTTCCTACTTATGCTTGGTCCAGTAACGCTCCAATGAATTCACACTTTGTTTCCTATGCATTTTACACGGTATATCTTTACAACACCGCTGCCTTCTGCGTTCGTACAGAACGCGAACATCGCATCATTCCTATCTCATCAGAGTTTTAGAATATCGTATATAAATATATAAATAGCTATAACATAATTATGCCATCCCATTTTCTTAAAAAAAATCTTGGTCCATTTTCTATTTAAATAATTATATAAAATTGAAAAGTGCATTCTTACGATGCTAATTTAAATATATTGGATAGATACCAGAAATGGACGTGTATAAAACGATATATCACTATGGTCAGGGTCTCAACAAAGTATCAACGTTTCTCCGCGAAGATTTGCGCAATATACAGAATTTATTATGCAGTGTACAGAATTTTATTTTTATTACTTCTATTAGAGAGAAACAGAGAAATGTAAAGTAGGCGGATGCAAATAAGATGGTGAATCGTTTTGTTGCGTTAAACTGGGATTGTCTGTGATTATAGTGCGAGGACGACAAACGTTGTAAGTTATTATAACTTATTACACACTCCCGTTAAAATTTTCTTCCAAAAATTCACTTCTGTGTCGATAATCAATCGATAATCATAAAGATGATGATTAGTGATTAACTAGCCAATACGAAGAAAATTTTAGCGATTGCTTATAACGAGTGTATATGTGGTATATGTGCCTCAAAAGCTCATTTCATTATGAGTACATTAAAGATATTAATGTAATAGAAATGACACGCGATTACGCGAAGATAACAAGAGCAACTGTTATTACCAGTGGTACCTCAATCAAGAAAAAGGAAAAAAAAACATATTTAAAAAATACTATTTGTTAAAAAAGAAAATATAAATTAAGCACTCTTTTACGAATAGTGTTATTGAGAACAATGACACATATTTATACGATTAAAGAAAATTTTGTTTATATAATTATATACATTATATTCTATTAATTTTTACAGATGACTATAAAAAAAATGACAATGTTAATTGACGATGTTGATAGATAATAAGTAAAATCGAAAAGAATTTCTATTCAGTATTTAATTTTTTTCGTGTAGAAGCGTCACACACTTTGATGTATTTGTGTAGTATTTGACATATGTGACAATTTTGAGAATGATGGAAATGAATGAGTTGCGATAAAGCATTCGGAGCCCGAGAAAATGAATTAGATTTAATTAAGCCAGATTATAATTTTGTGATCCAATGTGTTATCGTTAATTCGTGATTGATATAATTCCTTATAATTCGAGAGTTGACTAATTATCGACTTACATAAGTGAAGGAATTAGTTCCAACAAATTACTTCGTATTTATCCCCTTTGTTATTTTTGTGCATTCTATCAAAATTTAAAATATAAAGGATGTGTTAGGGGAAGATATTTTTTCAGGCAGTTTTGTATCACGAAAAGGGGATTTATAAGAAAGAGCAACACATTTCCGGCCTTGATCTTTGATTTTGTTAGATTGCTGTGCTTATACTAGTGAGATAATTGTTTTAATTGATGTGTAATAATTGCTGTGAGAGATGAAGTAACAAAATGGTAAAGACTGAAATGTGGTTGTATATCAACTCAGGGAACAGACACGTTAATTGAGTAACGTTTTGTGTTATCTTACGAGATAGCGTTGTACGAAAAAAAGCATGCTTCTACCAAAGATGACTGAAGCGACACTCCTCTGTTAAACCAAATAAAGTACGGTGTGTAGCGGAGAGAAGCTATGCGTGAGATATTATCGAATTTATAACATGTATATAATAGTTATTATATATATAGATATCTAAAACGTGAAAATGCTGATGTAACAGATTATATCTATATATTTAATATATCACATGTCGCTAGAGAATCATATTCTTTAAAAACAAGGAGAGATCTATACATTTATACATATATTATACATTTATATATATATATATATATAATATGTATGTTATATATACATATGTTTACCATATACCGTACGTATACATACATATACATGTATATATACATATATATCTTATTCAGAATCCTAAAAGTTATTTAAAGTCATAAACTTTATAAGTTACATCGGTTTCCTCCAGAACAAATTTTTTTCTATGACTATATTATTACGTTACACGAACATTCTTTTTCGAGGTTCAAAGGATGTATACATATGTATATATAAATATTATAAATATATATTGAACAGTTAAATAAGTCGAAGCTTGTATCATACGAGAGTGCTGTTCTGTTGCTATAAATACGTAAAAGAGACACCTACCTTTGTTACCACTGGTTGTTAAAATATATCATAATGCAATATTTATTTATAAAACGCTGTATGTTGTTTTAAAACCCTCCAACCAAAACCACTCAACTTGAAATTATCAAAAGACTATATTCTTGAAATTATCTTCATTATGAAGATAATTGAAGGAATTAGTTTCGTTAGTATAACAGTCTAGAGAGTTTAAAATTTCTGAAAGAGAAATACTTTTTTATACAGAAATATTTTTATATAAGACAATTTTTATCATTTATTATTGTCATCATGTTCTGAAAATTAAATTAATTAGGGAAACAATATTGTTTTTAATAAATAATTTAATTTCTTTAATATAATTTCTTTAATATAATAGTTTACGAAAATATATAATTATTGAAAGATATTCTATGCAAAAATATCTTTCGAGTGAGACAATTCTCACAAAATGTTTGGATATGACAGGGCAATAGGAGTCAAGCGATAATTCTTGTGCAAATCAATACTGTTAACAAAAAAACTTTATTAATAATTAATCCGTTTACATGTTTCAACCACTTTTGAACCATCTTCGGAGACAATATGATGTAATAACAAAAATTTTTTTACAAATTCATTTCAGTGAGCCATCTCCACTTATTAAGGGAAACTATAATATAAAAATAAACTCTAATAACAATTTAAAATGTATTAAAATCATTAAAAGGTAAATTTATTGAGATAGAGAAAGCAAAAACGATTTATTATAAAATAATAGAAGGTAGCTTACTGAAATAAAAATTCACAAATATCGCAAACATTTAAATTCTATCGGTTTAGTCAAAAACCAGTCTTTGATCATTCAGCGAATCAGTGTCAATTATGTTGAAATTAATGAATAACTTTTAATATACCTAAAACGTTAATCGCAAAGAAAAGAAAAAAAGAAGGGAAAAAACTTTGATATTAATTATAGTCCAGACGGACATTAAAACCAAAATTAAATCTTTACTAATTTAATCTTAATGTAACAGAAATTGAGACAATTCTTATCACATTTACTAGTTTATTATTATATATATAAATTCTAATTAAAAATAATTTCTTAAGAAATTTAGAGAATACACCGTGAAATATTGTTTTAAAATACTAATAGCTATAAAATTATAAATTTATTATTAATTTTTTCGCTTTTTCATCCTTCAATGTATTCTTGACAAATATTTCACACGAAAATGTGTACGTACAAAAATACTATAAGTAGTATTTGTTACATATATTAAGACTTCTCTAATATTTTCACATGCAATATTTTTCGAGAATAAAACTCCTGAATCATATGTCTTATTCAAAGTACGGAAAGGCTGATTAAATATATGATTAAAATAAAGAAATTTAATACGTGCTGGAAATCCCAATTATTTCAACGATCGCGTTCAAATTTAATGTCTCTTCGATCATTCATTGCAATTGGTTCATTCTATAGCCATTCTAGTACTATCGATATTGGACGCTGCCAATCGTATTGCGCGACATTGAGCGCAGTCGGCTGGATCGTGAGAGGCGATAGGTCGATCGCGTGGCGTCCCTGCGACGCCACAGCCAATCATTGCACGCGGCGTTTCTTTCCGGTTAATGGCGGCGCGAAACCCGGCTTGTGATGTGGCGTCGTCGCAAGCAAGCGCACTAATCCGACCGTTGGCTGGCGCTGCTTGATCCGGTAGTGCGCATTTGACTGCGAGGTGTGGGAGATCGTTGATCAGACGATCACGGAGGTAGTACACGCGTTCGCTCGATCGACACGGACGCGCTGACGTTAGACGTTATCAGCAACGAGTTGATGATACGCTAGACACGGACGCGCCGGTGTTCCCTCTTTCTCTCTCTCTCTGTCTCACTCCCCCTCAGTGTCGCCGAGGGTATCTAATCGAGAACGACGTAGAGTGCCTCGTACGAGACCGCAGGCGCGAGAATTCGCGTGCAGGCTAGTCGCGTACTTTCCGCAACAACAATGTCAACGAAATCAAGCAAGAAGACCGCAGCGGCAGCCGCAGCCGCCGCTTCCGCTTCTTCCGCCTCCGTCGCCTCGTCGTCCTCCAGCATCCAGTCGCCGCCACCAACTACATCGACGCCAATCGGCCGGCGACCCGGCAGCCCGCTTAGCCCAACCCGATACTCCCGGCTGCAGGAGAAGCAGGATCTACAGAATCTCAATGATCGTTTGGCATGTTACATCGAAAAGGTGCGTCACTTGGAGACCGAGAACTCCCGGCTGACCCGAGAGATGCAGACTACTCAGGAGACCGTCACCCGGGAGGTCTCCAGTATCAAGGCCATGTATGAACACGAGCTATCCGATGCGCGAAAGCTGCTCGACGAAACTGCCAGAGAACGCGCCAAGCTGGAGATAGATACCAAACGTCTCTGGGACGATAACGAGGATCTCAAGAGCAAGTAAGTTTAATTTACGTATTTATATATATATATAGTGTTTTATACCCCGAGTAAAATGATAAGTTTTTTGTGTATCTAATCGTGTTGCCTCTTGCAAAATAGATAGAAAAGTTAGATGGCACTAGTCGGGATCGTTATTGACAAACATCGATCAATACGATCGAGTATCCGAGTATTTTGTTTCCTGACGATGCTGTAAAAAAAAAAATCAAATTGTAAAAAGATAAATTAGAATTTTATTTGTGGATCATTAGATGTACGCAATTGGGCACTGCAGTCGGCAAAGTAGTGAAACTCGGATTTGAATACAATGGAGCCCGAGAGACTTGGAGAATACGAACTTGGTTGTACAGCCGTAATGTGAAACTCTTTAATTCATGAATCATTGGCACTGAACTATACTCAATTTTTCTTTCGATAGTCTCCTCATTAGCACTTCTTATTCTGACACATGCGCAGAATAAAAATTAATATGTGCGCAATCGCGCATCCACGCTGTTCATAACCTTAATACAATTCCGTATTGTAACACCTAGCTCCGACTCTTCCCTATTTTTAAACGATTCTGCAAATTGAATGTCCCTTCTCTCCCTGATTGTATTTTCTATTCAATCACGTATGTGTAAAGGAAAATTTTCAATAAGAAGACTATGTGGTTCCGATAGTAACTATGTTGTGTATTATTAGAGCTTATTTTCGACGGCATTTTTGATATCTTTTTATGATTCATGAGCTTCAAGCCAAAAAACAAACAGAATTAATTTCGTATCTTGACTAATTTTGTATTACAAAAAAAATGGAATATACACTCGGTATATCATGAAATGAGTATATAATGACTCATCCAATAAAAATTTATGTTTCTTTCCAAGTACCGATGACGCAAGAATTCAAATCTGATTATATTTATTGAGTCTTCCTGTGTATTTTGATTTAAGATATGCATAATTTCCTTAATAGAAGAATTAATCTAGTATTATAATATTATTTTAGTATTCATTATGAAAGCAGAGAAAAAAACGTTCTATTTTATATAATTATATATTCACAAGGCTAAGGTATAATTTATTTATTCGTATTTGTATTTCACTCTACTTTGAATCATGATCATGTTATACTCATTCTCTCATATTCCTTGACTT